TTTGGCTGAGTTTGCATTTTGCTTCCTCTTTTTGTCATTTTGAAATCTTGCTCAGTGTCCAGGGATTCAGGTTGACTTCTGAGATGGTAGCAGGGGGTGGAGCCAGAGGAGTCAGGTGACCAGAGGTCTTACTGAGTCCAAGAACCCTCCCACGGTGGTGGAGAGGGTGGGTCCAGAGGATCCAAGGCCCCTGAGAGCTCACTGAGACTTCCCAAGCCCAAGGTCCTTCTGGACAGTGGCAGTGGGGCAAGGCCAGAGGATGAGAGTCCCCAGTCAGCTCACTGAGGATTCCTGCAATGCTGTCTTCAAGTTCTGAAAATCTATCTTCCATTTCATTCAAGCAGTTCTTCCAGCTCACTGAGGCCCCTCCTGTGGTGGGGGCGGGTGGCAGGGCCAGAGGATGTGGGAGACTTTTCATCTAAGCATTTCTTCCTGTGCATCTCCCAGTCTGTGACCCTTGTCATTTAGGTGTCTGTCTTGCGCATGGACTTTCTTTGTGTATCTGTATCACCTTTAGACTTTCCTCTGATTCTTCCATTGATACTGTGCTGCTCTCTTTGCATATGACTTCTTCTTCTAACACTTTGTGTCTCCCCTGACTATTTCGATATTTAACTTGTTTCTAAATCTTTTCCGTGAAGTTTCTTTGTCTAGACCTTTGTCTGTAGCCACAGCTTTTCTTTCTTGCTTCCCTCTGTGTACACCTTAATTCTTCCTCTTTTATCTCTCTTACTCCCTCTTTTTTTGAGAACCCATGGCTGCATCTCTGTCTTGGAGTCTCTGTCAGTCTTGCTGTGTCTCTCAAAACCATAATCTTCTGGACTCTCTGCCCAACCCCGTGGGCTCATCCTGAGATTTCCTCAGCACCCCTGCCAAATTCTCAGTGCCTCCTTGATTGCTTCTTTTATGCTCCACTTCCCCATCCCAAAGTTGTTCATGGTGCTCAGACAGAATTGCTGGAGGACTATCCATCGATTTCCATTGGCAAAGGTCACACCTGATAGTGAGGCATGGAGAGAATGCTGGGTGAACTCGTGTGATGGTCTGCCCTTTGTCCCCTAATGTTTCTCCAACCTCCACTTACCAGTTCCTGGAACTTGTGATCTCTGGTCAGTGATCATTCAAGTGAAACACTTGAAAGAATCAACAACTGGGATCTCATCCTACTGAATAGTTTCTGCACATCTAAAGAAATCACCAGCAGAGTAAAAAGATAAGCTACAATCCTAGTCCAAAAGATAAGCCTCATCCTAATCCACCAGGGCTTCCCTGATCACCTCTTATCTACACAGGATGACAGCAGGCTGAGACACGAGGTAGATTGTGAAGACGTCCCCATATTTCTCCCACAGCTCTGAAGAAGGGTCCACATCTCACAGTCCCACCTGTGGGAAGGTTTCCACTGTTACACTTGGATCTTAGCTTCCAGTGTAGCCTGAGTTTTCTCAGCCGTAGACCCATCAGGAAGAGCAGAGACTTAGACTCTTTGTCTCCTTTCATGCCCCACAAACATGCCCTTCCTCTAGTGCCCTTGCCTCTCGGCTCTACCAAAACCTTCTCAGCCTCAAATTTTATTATTCACACTAAATCTCCACATCCAATCTCTAGAACCTCTCCTTTGCTCACCACTGGAACAAAATTTAAACCCTCAAATCTATGAAAATTTCTCCTCCAATCTACTCTCTCTCTGTCCATTCTGAAGGAATTGTAGAAGCTTATGTGAGTGGTCCTGAGGGGGGCTGGAATTATAGAATTCCCAAATTCATCTGGAGAGCACACCCAAAGCTGGATCCTCAAACTGCCCTGTTACCTATGAGCTCTGTGTACTTTTTGCCACCACTTACCTTCTTGCTGCTTCTCTTCCCATCCCACCTGATGGAAGGATTTGAGAAAACCCTTGGAGTCTATTATAAAATGTTCCCCAGGTATGGTAGAGGCCAAGGTCCAGGTGGAAGGCTGCCATCGGGGTGGGGCAGCCTCACATTGAGAGTAGCAAAGGATAATCAGGATGAAGAAGAAGATGAAGTCACACAGCTCCATGGTCTTCTCTCTACCAAACGTCCACACTTCAGTTTTCCTTCAAAAGCAGGTTGCTATAGTTGTTGTTTTCCCTCCTGTGGTTGGCGGAGGATTGTGTGCCAGGAATCTATCTTGGCAGAAACCCTGGAACATCTCCAGTAGATACAGGGAGCCAAAAATTTCCAGGCCTTGCAGAAGCCCA